TGCAAGGGATGCTTTGATGCAAATGGATTTCGTGACCAGACAACGTGTAAGTGGGATACACACGACATGAGAAATCTGTCTCAGTAGAATCGACATTTAGGATTTCGAAAGAGTTCTCACATCAATTTTAGACGCATTATAAAATAAAGATAAACTTTTATCTAAATTTTAGTAATGTATTTGTGCTGTTTAAAGTAGGGGGACAAGCAACATTCACTTTTTTCAACAGTACTTAACATGTTGTTATGTACGTGTCAAAGCTGTTACTTACGTTACCAATATTTGCTAGCGTTTGTATATAGTGTAGATACAGATACATTTACATTACTACATTCCGTGGTTATAACCGCCTCCTGCCAAGTACAAATGTGCTGTAAAACCTTTTTTCACAGACAAAAAAGACAATATTGTGAAGTTACATGTATGTTGTGAGGAATCAACCACTTTTAGCATGCAAATGTTTCTGATAAATGTCTAAAAACAAGAAGTAGCATTGCTGACATCACTTGCACGTTGTATGCATGCTTTTAAGTTAGGGGGGAAAGCAACATTCACTTTTTTCGATTGTTGTTACCATGTTGTTATTGTTACGTGACAATGCTGTTACTTACGTTACCAAAATATGATAGCGTTGGCCCAGAGTGCAGTTGCAGATACATTTAAATTGTAATCAATACTGCATTCCATGGTTCTTACCGCTTTCCGTGAAGTACAAATATATTAAGTATAGTAAAATTTGTATTCACAACAGAAAAGACTACATTGTGCAGTTATCTTTCCTAAAATCAACCACTATTAGTATGCGAACATTTCATGATAAATGCCTAAAAACGAACACGACTGTAAGATGATGACCCCTGGGAGGTTCGTCTAGGGCTTCTTGTTGAGAAAAAATACTTTTGTGGTTTGTTACAATAAACAATATATGTTCAGACCGTTATCAGTGTATAAACTGGTGTTTTTGACATCACTCTCTTGAAAGTGACATGATAAAGATAAATATTCGATATTTCACAAATTAAAACAGCTGGCACTTTGAAAAAAGTAGCCTAATATAGTCAACAGTATAGGGAACAAGTTAAGAACACTTGGCAAGTCC